AATAATCTGAGTGGATACACAGACATGCAAGCTAAACACAGGAAGGTGAATGGGACTATACCCATGAATGTATGTATGTATGTATGTGTGTGTGTGTGTGTGTGTGTATATATATATATATATATATATAGGTTTAACAAAAAATATTTCTACATATGTATCTATATATGTTACAATTCTATCCATGAATAAAGCAGAGCATACAGGAAGCAGAGTTATGAAACTTCTTAACCACAACCAAACACCCTGAGGGAATGAGTCACTGGGCCTGGGGGTTCAGGACTAGTCTCTGGGGACATCAAGGTCAATTGGTATAACATAGTCCACAAAGGCAATGTTCTGTAACTTACTAGTGTTTTCAGAGATCATGAAAACTAACTCCCGATGGATCAAAGACTTAAATGTGAAACCTAAAACTATAAAATTCATCAAAGAAAAAATAGAGGCAAACTTAGGGGCCCTAATTTATGGCATATGTGGGCTATCAAGCATAACCCAAAATGCACAAACAGCAGAAGATAAACTACATGATTGAGACCTTCTAAAATTAAGTTCTCATGTGCATTAAAAGACTTCTCCAAAGAGTTAAAGGAGAACCTACAGATGGGGGAAAAAGTATTTGTTAATGACATATCTGATAAGGGACTTAATTTTAAAACAGAAAACTCTTAACACCTCAATATCAAAAAAGACAATCTAATTTAAAAACGGGCAGAACACATGAATAGACACTTTACCAAAGACAATATTCAGGCAGCCAACAAACACATGAAGAAATTTTCATGATCATTAGACATTAGAGAGATACCATCTCACCCTTCATGATCATTAGACATTAGAGAGATACCATCTCACCCTAGCACTAATAGCAAAGTTCAACAAGACAGAAAATAACAAATGCTGGCGAGGATGTGAAGAGATTGGGACTCTTCATATACTGGTGGTGGGATAGTAAATGATACAATCACTGTGGGACTCGGTATGGCGATTCCTTACAAAGTTAGAAACAGAAATACCATTTGATCCAGCAATCCCATTATTAGGTATATATCCTAAAGACATGGGAGGCAGGACACGAATAGGTATATGTACACCCATGTTCATTTTCATTGCAGGGCTATCCACAATAGCAAAGAGGTGGAAACAACCTAAGTGCTCATCAACCGAGGAATGGCTAACCAAACTGTGGCACATACACACAACAGAATACTATACAACACTAAACAATAATGTAGAATCTGTGAAAAAACATGTAATGTGGATGAACTTGGAGGGCATTATGCTGAAGGAAGTAAGTCAACCATAGAAGGACAAATATTTTATTAGTCCGCTATCGTAAATCGGAAGGAAGGTTGGGCAATCCTACTTTCGTAGTGATACTGCCTGGGAAACCCAAAGAGGGGTCGCTATGAGTCGGGGCCGACTTGACACCAAACAACAACAACAACAACAACTATTGTAAAACATCAAGGAAAGGTTTATATATGGAAGGAAATTTTCTTTGTTGATTACCGGGGAGGGGAGGGAAAATGGATAGGTTTTTTTTTTTCTTCTTCTTAAATAAACATATATTGTTGTTACGTGCTGTCGAGTCGGACCCAACTCATAGCGACCCCTCCTTGGGTTTCTAAGGCAGTATCACTACAGAAGTAGATAACCCCATCTTCCTTCCAAGGAGTGGCTGATGGGTTTGAACCACCAGCCTTCTGGTTAGCAGTCAAGTGCCTCAGGCACTATGCTACCAAAGTTCCATCCAACAATCAATCAATAAGAAATATATATATATAATATATAATATATATAATATATGTATATATATATATATATATATATATACCAAAGATTATTAGTGGTTACCAGGGGTAGGAGGGAGGGGTAAAGGGGAAGCTTTTATTTACAGGGCACTGAGTATATTGCTAATGGTGGAGTATTTTGGAAAAGGATAGCAATAATGATGGCATACATGAAAAATGTCATCAATGCCCCTGAGCTATAAATGGGGAAGTTGTCATATTGGTGAATGTCTTGATGTGTATGTTTTCACCAGAATAAAACTAAAAAAAAAAAAAGAATGATCAAAAGTTGACAAATTGGAACACTGTTGCTGGCATATGTCAGATTTTTTTAAAAACAAAGTGTTCAGGAGGCTACAGAAAAAGAAAAAAAAGTTCGTGAGTGGCCATCTAAGGTGCAATTATTGGTCTCTCCTCACCCACAGTAAACAAGAGCGAAGAAAATCAAAGATGCATGGAAATAATTAGTTCAAAAGACCAATCAACCATATGAACCCCAGCCTCCACTAGTCTGAGACCAGAAGAACTAGATGGTACCCAGCTACCACTGCCAACTGTTCTGAAAGGGATCATATTAGAAGGTCCTGGATAGAGTGGAAAAAAATGTGGAACAAACTCAAAATAGTAAAAAAAGGCCAGGCTTACTGGTCTGATAGAAACTACTAGAACCCCTGGGACTATGGCCCTTAGACACCCTTCAAACCTGGAACTGAACTCACCTCCATGGCTCAACTTTTAGCCAAACAATAGACAGCCCTATAAGGTAAACAATAACACCAGGGAGGTACACACTCCTCAAAACAACTAACCATACAAAATCAAAGCAGCAACATTTGCCCAGAGATAAACTTAGAAGGCAGGAAGGATAGAAGGAAGGACAAACGGAAACAGTAAACCCAGAGAGGAAGTAGCAAGAACACTGTTACATTGTGAGGATTTCAATCATTGTCATAAAGCAAAATGGGTATGACTTATTGAATGAAAAACAATTTGATCTATAAACTTTTGTCCAAATCACAAGAAAAAGATTAAAAAAAAAAAAAAAAAAAGAAGTAAGGTAATTATTAACCCTAGGAAGCAAAAAGTAGATTTGTGCAAGAAAGGAAACATAATCATAAGACGGTGTTTGGCTCACCAATGAGCAATACTCATATGGGCATAATAAAGTTAATAATAATAATAACCAAAAACATATAACGTAATTAAAATCAGAAACATGAAGAAAAGGGGGAGGGGGGGTAAGAGTATTAAATCCTTGTGGTCTATAACAGAAAGTTCATAACCGTATGTCTAAACAGAAGAAAGAAATGAAGAACAGCAGCTTAGACTGGCTATTGGAAATGTGAAGGCAGACACTAATAAGGAAGATCTACAGATTTCAAGTGGTTGCCTCGGGGGGTGAGAATTATGGGGAATGGCAAACACAAATGGCCCTGGGCACCCATAAATATTTGTATAATGACATTCAGCCCAAATAACAAAAATAGACAACTTTGTCTCTAGCCCACATTCTTCAACCAAATTCACTTATCCTTAAAAGTGTCTGATTAGCGTCTATTTTGTGGACAGATTTATCATCTATATTATATCGATGGTAGTGAAAAAACAAAACCAAACCCAGAAGAGACTGTGTACAGAGACAGTCATGCCCTGATATACCTCACACTTAGAAAGAATGCAGATAATGTATGTGTTGGGATGAAAGAATGACCTAGATGAATTATGTGTTAGAGAAAACAAAACTTCTTAAGGCTGTTTGTACATTCTCCACAGCATGGGCTGTACTAGGGGAGGGGGAATGGTATCAGGATTGCTGCTGTACACACAAATAACAAAATTAAAACATAATAAAAGGGGTTAATACATGTCAAGTGCTTAGAGAAGGGCCTGGCACACAGTGAAGGGCTCTGGAAGGACTGGTATCACCGTTACTAAATTCTTCTACATTGGAGAAGAAGAGAGTCCATTCTGGGCATGCTGGAGAGTACTGTTGTACTAAGACTCCCCTAACACTTATCCAAAGAGTAGAACCCTCTCAATTCAAGACCACTAAGGCCTTGCGTTGGAGCTCTGGTGGTATAGTGCCTAAGGCATTTGATTGCTAACCAGAAGGCTGGCGGTTCAAACCCACCAGCCACTCCTCGGAAGCCTGGGAGACCTACTTCCGTAGAGATACTGCCTTTGAAACCCAAGGAGGGGTCGCTATGAGTCGGATTTGACTAACGGCAGTGAGTTTGGTTTGTTTTTAGGGCCTTGGGCAGATGTCACTGGTTAAACATCATTCCAACATGGCTCTCTATTCATTTGCCTGTATGGGAGGGGGACAGCCCTCTTCACCAAGACTTCACGAGGAAGGGAAGCTTCCTAGGGGCCTGGCTACAGAACGCTGCTCTACTTCCAGACCTCCCATGATGCAGTATGGTTGGCAGAGCGGTGTTACTCAGACACGAACATGGGATTCAAAAAGCAGCAATTGACTAAACACGTGAAACGTGATGAAGCACATCATGATTTAATTGTGTCAAAATGCAACTGTGCATCCTTATTACTTCTCAGTTTCCGGGAAAAAAAGGTAAGTTTCTTTCTTTGCCTTATTCAAATATCACACACCCAGTCCATACCACCCTAAGCTAGCAGAGCAGAATCAGGTCAGTCTGGGATGAAACGAGGCGGCACTGCCTCTGCCCACCTCACCACAACCCATGCCCCAAGTTCTTAATACCCTCTCCAAGCCCTCAGCAGCAGAGGGTGTGGGGATTCTAAAGAGTGTGTTAAAGGCACAAAGAGATGATGGGAGGAACTGGATTTTCTTTTTCTCTCCCAACGACAGTACTCTTGACATCAGGGCTCCGGGCACACACATAAACCACAACAATGAAGGCCTTACACCCCTTATCCCCATTCCCCCACCTGGCCATCAGGTGCCAGCTCATCCCTCACCACCTCAGAAGAGCCTTCCATGCTCCTCATTTGGGGATCAGGAACCAGGTATGTGCCCTCATACTGCCAGCACTACTTTTTGGTAGCCACCATCACAAATCCAACAAGAACTTACTTGTCTAATGTAGACCAGGCTGTGTGGCTCTGGCTTACTGGTCTCTCCTAGCACTGAACGCTGCCCAGAGCGTGCCGGCCACTCCTTTCAAATGTGTGGCCTCCAACTGCCCCTCGGATAGATGGGCAGACCGAGAAGGCAGCCCCACTCACCTGACAGGTTGATTTCTGTTAAGGAGTCTCTGGTGGTGGTGCCCACTGCCGTGAGCAGGTTGATGGACTGGTCAGTGACGTGGTTACAGTAACTGAGGTGCAGCTTAGAGAGCAGGGGCATGTGGCGGATGATGAGCCGCAGAGAGGCATCTGTGATGTCCAGGCCTGCGAGGCGCAGCTCCACAATGTTGCGGAGCTTGCTCCGATTGTCCATCTGACCTGGTAGCACAGGAAGGGGAGGAGCAACAAGTCATCCCGACCAGGGAGATGTGCTTAGGTGGACATGACCTGCAAGAGGTCTCCCAGCCAGATAGAACACCTGAATTCTGTTTAGCCATAAAGTGTTCCCAGAAATCTGAATTAATTCCAACCTTTAAAAAACAGAAGATTTTTAGGTTTCCTGAGTCTCTGAGTGGAACTAGTGGCTAATGTGTTCAGCAGCTAATCACCTCAAGGTGCCTTGGAAGAAAGGCCTAGAGATTTACTTCCCAAAGGTCTTACCCACTGAAATGCTACAGAGCACAGTTCTACTCTTGACACACAGGGGGTTACCACTAGTGGGAGTCAACTCAGTGGCAACTGGTAGTCTCTTAAAAAATCCTAAGAATGAGAAACAATGAGCCCACATTCCACCCAGTGGGCCAGTGGGAGAAGACATGGCCTGGTGTCTCCTGGTCAATCTTGCTCACACATTGAAGCTGCTGGTGCAGAGTGATGGTCCTAGCAACTTGGCTTAGGAGGGCCACGACATCCTATGAGTCAGCCCAGCCATGGTGACTTCAGAGCCTCAAAGCCAGCAGAGGACAAGTTGACCGAGTGCCTGGTGCATGTGGAGCCTCCAGGAGTGGGATCCCAGAGTAGCCAAAGAAGTCTGCATTCCCTCCTAACAAATCCCCCAGAGCCTGAGCCTCACCAAACATAGCAGCCTGCATACAGCCCTGGGTCCTTGAGAGAAGGGACTTATTAAGGAAGGCTGGAGGACGCAAGCACCAGATGGGGTCTGTAGGCAGATCAAACCTCACCACTTGGCCACACCTTCTCACATGACCCTGGGCCTGCCCTGGCTGGGAACTCACCTGGCCTGTTATCTGTGGGAGGGGACAAAAGGTCTCGCATCTGGGCATCCTTGAGTCCTTCCACCCACTGCACATCCAGGGTCCGGAGCAGTGGACAGCTGGAGCTGCAGAGGGCTGAGACTGCAATCCACGAGCACCCAGACAGCACCAGGTCTCGGAGCCCTGGGTGACGGGGGCGGGAGCACAGGTCAGGCACCGTCCCTGGGCCCTGGCCTCACCCCTGCACAGCCCATTTGAGGTTCAGCCTAGAGCTCACCAGGAAGCCGGTTGATGAGCCAACTCAGCTGCTTCTTGGAGATGTTGGTCCAGCTGAGGTCCAGGGAAACAGGCTGGCGCCGGATGATGCCGCTCAGCATCAGGGGTGTGATGGACTTGCAGTGGTTCAGGTCGATGCGGGTCCACAACCGCTTATCGCAGCACCTGGGCCGGCCAGAGGGGGCTATCAGGCATGGGGCACAGGAGCCCCCACATGGCTGCAACTCCCCCACACACCAAGCTAAGCCCTCTGACCCCTTCTCTTGCCACCACAGGTCCCCATGGAGGGAGCAGTCAAGTTCCTATTAAGTTGTACTGTATGCTCACCAGGCTTCTATGTGGGGTACTGTAAAAACACCTCATGAGGCAGGGATCACCCCAGTTCACAGATGAGGTTAAGTAGCCTTGCCAAGGCCAGAAAGCTAATAAATATTAAAGCTGGGATTAACCTGTTGTTATGTGCTGTCGAGTCGGACCAAACTCATAGCGAGGGTAGATTTCCGAGGCAGTATCACTACGGAAGTAGACTGCCCAACCTTCCTTCCAAGGAGTGGCTGGTGGGTTTGAACCACCGGCCTTCTGGTTAGCAGTCAAGTGCCTTAGGCACTATGCTACCAGAGCTCCTGGGATTAACCTAACCCTGGCTAACTCTGTCACACTGGGCACATCTGGGCCTTACTGTACCTTCCAAGGAACCAAGTCAAGAAAGGCCAAGTAAGCATCCATCTTCTACCAAGATGTGGCCACCTGGAGCTCTTTGTGGAGGATAATAAAGGTGCCATGAGGCCAGTGGAGGCCACAAGTGACACATTATGTCTGCCACGGCTACGAGAGTGACATGGGGACACATGCCATACAGGCTAAGCTTTGGACCCAGAGCCTTGACCTGGGCCTACCTAGTGCATGAGCACCGCTGGTACCCTGCTTACCAGCGGTTCCAGGTCCTACAGACCCGCATGCAGACACACAGGTCTGGGTGGCTGAGGTAGCTGAAGACGGCCATCCACACCTCCCTGTGCATGACGTGGGCAGCCCCGTCATCCAGGGGCAGTGAATCGGGAGGGGGGCTGATGGGGGGCGGCCGGATCACATGTCGTTCCATCTGGATGCACTTGGGAGGCGACACAGAGGGCGGGGGCCGGGAGATGACTCGGGGTGGGCTCCGCAGGCCTGGGCCCAGCTGGTGTCGCAGCTCCCGGGGTGTGCCGTTGAGGCCCTTGCTGAAGCGGTGGGGGCGCTCACAGAAACTCAGGGGCCGCTTGGGCTCTTCATTCTCACTCTCGGGCTCAGATTTGATGGGCTGGTGGTTCTCATTGGCCAGGCTGCTCTCTGTCTTCTGGATCTCCTGGTTGAGCTCCTTGCTCAGCTCCTTGCTCAGCTCCTTGTTGGGAAGCCGTCGTTTCCGACGCATCTTCACCTTCTTCTTCTCCTCAGGGCCCTCCGCACCTTCGGTGCTAGGCCCAGCCGTGGGTGAGCTGGAGCGCGAGTGGTCACTCTCCCTGGACTTGGGGGGTGCCTCGGGCAGGTCATCCTCGGGCTCCTGCTTAAAGCGCCGGAGCGGCTTGTTGGCCAGAGCCATCCGGTCCTCTGCGTTCTTCCAGGACCGCCGCTGTGGGAAGAGATGGGGGGTGAGACCCATAGGCTCAGGGCTGTACCCACCCCAGGGCCTCCTAATCCCTCTGCATAGGACCCAAGGCAAGGAGGGGAGGATAGTACCTTTTTCCTGAAAAGCTTATCTTCTTTGCCAGGTTTTAGCTGTCACAGGAAAGAAAGGACGCAGAGCTTGCTCCCAGGGTTCATGGAGTCTGGTCCCCTCTACACCCAACCAACCATTGAGTCCACAGGCTCTATAGGACTGGCAGGAGGAAAGCCCTCTCCATAGAGCCTCTCTCCCTCACATCTGACTGACAGATGAGGGCTGCATGCTGGTTTCAAGGAAGAAGATGGAAGTTGGAGTATGGCTGAACTAGTAGTAGTCCCCATCCCACCAACCTCCCGCCCCAGCAGACCCAAAGCTCGGAGGCTCCCATTTCCATTACACTTGGCTCTAGAGCTGCTTCCAGAGCCTTCAGGCATTCCCAGCCAAACTGTAATGGCTGGACTACTGGGAGAAGAAACTCTAGGCGCCACCTGGTGGCAGATGATGGGAAGGACTGGTGGGCAGAACAGGGCTGGCCAGGTCCTGAGGTGCCCTGATCACAAGGGTTCCCATGATCCCTACCAACCCAGCACCTATCACACAGAGCTTCCCAGTCCTCATACCACAGCCAGCCTCAGAGAGCTCGGCCCGAAGCTTGGGAGCCCTTGGTGAATAGGTGCCTCAGGAGATTCTGCCGCAAGGGGTTCATGGCCCAATGACGGGCACAGCCCAGGACTCATGAGTTCCCAGGGCTCAGGAGGGTGGGGCATGTGGGAGCACCTGCTGCTGGAAGTAAGTGAGACTGGATCTCCACCAGGGGCTGAGGCTGCTGCCTAGAGGGGGCCTCGGCGAGAGGTGAGAGGAGGAACCGGGGGACGTTGGAAGCGTCGACGCCTAAAGGGGGTGGGAAGAGGAGTGACTCGCTGATTGCTCCTACCTGTCATCTGGGCCAGGCTCTCGGGGTATATGTGATCTGCTCAAGGTAGTGTGAGGCCAGGATCCCGAGTTCTGCCCACTGCCACCCTACCACCCCCCCTGTACCCTGGGACCAGCAAAGCCACCCCCTCCCCCCTGCACTCCCCAAATCCGTACTCGCTTGCGTCCACTCAGCTCCTGGGGCTTCTCATATTTCCGCTTCCTCCTCAGGTGCACGTCATCAGACTTTCGGCGCAGGATGCCATCCGGGGGCACCTTCTTGGGGTGCTCGTCCGACCTGCGCCGGGGTGCCTCCTCACACTCACTCCTTCGCTTGGCAGGCTCCTGCCCTTCTCTGTTGTCCCGGTTTATCTTCTGCTCCTTGAGCAGGGAGCCCGGCAGGTTTGAGGCATATTTAAAGCCAGGGCCACGCTTTTGCTTGTAGGCCAAAAAGAGAGAAGGAACAAACCAACTGTATATCTTTGGACCTGCCCTCCACCCCACAGCCCGAGTCTGCTGCTCTCACCAGGCTGATAGCCTGGATCAGGCCAGGGCCTGCCTCCCACTGACCCTGGAAGCTAGAGCCCGGCACTCACTTTCCCGGTCTTGCCAGCGTGGTTACACTTTGGACACTCCCAGCAGTTTGGAAGCTCATCATTTACCACACCCTCTGATTCCTTAATCTGCAAAGGACACACAGGAGTCAGCAAGCTAGCAGGGTGGTGAGGGAGCCTTGACTTAGCAGTCATATGGGTCTCTGAGATCCCATCAGCTAGACGTGGCTACACCCCCTCCCAAATGCTATGTCCATGCCACTTTTGGCCAAAAAAACCAAACTAAACCAGAGTGGTATAGAGCTTGGCCAGACGAGGGACTGACTCAAGTCAGACTGGGGTTCAAACCCTGATTTTGATCTCACTTGCTATGCGATCCTGGGCAAAGCCCCTTGCCTTTGGGCACCCACCTCACTGAGGCTTTGTAAGGACAGGGTTGGGCGCTCAGCAAATCTTCAGAACACTGCTCGGTCAGACACAGAGATCAGTGTGAGCACACCCACCCTGACTCTCTAAGGCATGCAGATCCACACTGGCTTGGACATCTGGAAGATGGCCAGGTATAATGCTATGTTCCTGGGTTAGAAGGCTAGCCTAGAGAGTCCCATCCCCAAAAGGTGGAACCCACTACCTAGGACAGGCAGGCCCAGCCCAGAGATCACTAGAAGGAAGTAGGAAAGGGAACTTTGGCGGGGGCACACCAAAGGAACAGGTCCCCAGTGCAAACGAATAAGACTATAGCCACCTGTTGTTTCAGGAGCTGCCCTTCCCTGACCCAGGCACCTGTCCTCCCAGAGGCCTGAAGGCAGGACTCCGGAGAGCAGCCCAGCCACCTGAGGCTCTCCTCTGGCCCAGTTCTCTAGTGCAAGACAAAGCATTCTGTCTTTGGACACTCTGCAGTTGAGACGTCGGCAGGTGGATATGTACACATGTTCATTCCCTCAAAGACTTGGGTAGAACCTTTGAGCTACTCCAGACCCTTCTCACCCTGGGCTCATCACCTGACACGGAATCCCCCAGACTCAGGAGACGTCCTAGAATTCACCAAGCTTTCTGAACTCACCACCCCATCCCCAGCAGTTCCCAGGTCTAGCTCCTAAGCCCCCTCCCACCATCAGCACCACCAGAACCCCCCAGGGGCACTCACCTTAAGGCATCCTGGGTGGATGATTTCATTGCAGATGGAGCACTCCATGAGCATGAGGTTAAACTTGCCTTCTTCCTCTTCCACTGTGTCTTCCTTCCCAGCCTCGCCACACACAAGGCACACGGCAGTGTGGGGCAGCACGGGCTGCAGGACAGGGGGCAGAGTCAACATGTGGCAGGAACAGTCCCACTCAGAGTGCAGGTCCAGGGGGCAAGCTGTTCTCCTCAGGTCTGCCAGAGAAATAGCTGAGGTATCACATACCTACCCATCCTTCTACCCACCCACTCACTCACGTCTATCCTGGGCTACCAGGCTCTATATTCCAGTGCTAAGGTACAGCCATGAACTAGTCAGACTCAAATCTCTGTCCTGAGTGTGCACTTTAGTGCAGAGAGACAGACCAAGAACAGCACACCAACTCCTGGTGTCATACCACTGTATGTGGGATGATGGTAAGGGTCATGGAGGGCCAGGGCGAGAGGTAGAGGGAGATTCACTGTGACCAGGTAAGAGAATGAACACCTCCTTCAGGGGACATGGGAGGAGGCAGGTGTGAAGTGGGCCCAGATCCAATAGGGCTGCACCTCAGAGGAGACTCCCTAAACCAGTAATTGTCAAGGTATAGTCCATGGGCCCTGGGATCCCCAAGACCTTTTCAGGGAGGTCAGTAAGGCTGAAACGATCTCCAGAATAACAAAGACATCTTTGCATTTCCCACCATGTATAGAAACCTGCACTGCTGCCTCAGAGCTGCACATTGTGGCATCTCAGCATGACCCGAGGCTGTGGTACCAACCTGAGTAGTCATCACTAGACTACTGCTACATGCACAAAAAGCTGCACTTCATTTAAGAATGTCTTTGATTAAACACTAAAAAATACTGTTTATTAAAATATCAACCCTTGAGCACAGCCTTCTGACCACTCTGTGCAGCCACTGTCATCAAAGAGCATCATTTTAACTCAGAAGAATGACTGACACAAAAACCATGATACGCAAACAAAGAATTCCCATCTGACCTAGCAATTCCACTCCCAGGTATATACCCAAGAGAACTGAAAGCAGGAAGGCAAATGGATACTAGTACAACAATGTTCACTGTAACACTACTGACAAGAGCCATCAATAAGTGAATGGATAAACAAACTGTGTATCCATACAACGGAGTTTAGTTCAGCCACAAAGAGAAATGAAGTTCTGATACATGCTACAATATGAAAACATTATATTGACTGAAGATAGTCAGACATAAAAGGACAAATATTTTACGATCCCATTTACATAAAACATGTAGAACAAGCAAATGCCTAGAGGCCAAAGTTTATTAGTGGTTACAAGGGATGGGAGGAGGAAATGGAGAGGTACTGCTTACAGGATACTGAGTTTCTGTTAAGGATGATGAGAAAACTAGGAAATGGAGAGTCGGGATGGTTGCACCAACAGTGAGTATGATTAATGTCACTGAACTGTACGTGTAAAAATGGTTGAAAGGGCAAATGTTTTGCTACATATATTTCACCACAATAAAATTGTTTTTAAAAGTTCAAGTTCCAACTGTTAGATAGGTAGAGTGATGTGAGTGAAGAAAGGGCAATGTACCAAATGTGAGTGATCAACATGGTGGCACTGAGGAAGAGTATAAGACATAGAGAGGTACAGACAACAAAGATGAACCCTTTTGCACATACAGTACTGCGCTGTCAGTGAAGGCAAACACGGGTATATGAGTGGATAGATGGGTGGACAAACTGAGATATTAGGTATGTTTATGAAGTGGGGAGTGTACCCAAGACCACGTATAGGGTTGGCAGACAATGGTCCGAGAAGTACATTTGTATGATCTGTAAGAATTCCGAGGTGTACAGTAGAGCTGACAAGAGACAAGGTTGTAGTCACTTCTTGGTCACAGCCAGCTACCCAGAGGGACCGAGTAGTTGAAACTGTGGGCTCGGGACCATAATCACAGGAGACTTCAAACTCAACTGGCATAACACACTACACAAAACACTGCTCTACCTCCCACTTTGGTGAGTAGCGACTGGGATCTTAAAAGCTTTTAAGCAGCCATCCAGATGCAACAATGGGTCTCTCCTCATCCAGAGCAAAGAATGAAGAAAACCAAAGATTCATAGAAACAATTAGTCCTCGCAACTGGTACACTATGCGATCTGCAGCCCATACAACTATGAGACCAGAAGAACTAGATGGTGCTCAGCTACCACGGTCAACCACTCGGAGAGGGATCTATGTAGGAGATCCTGGATAGACAAGGAGAACAATGTGGAACAAAACTCAAAATCATTTGGGGGGAAAAAAAAAGAGGGACCCAGTTTCCTGTCTGACAGAGCCTGGTGGAACCCCTGAGACTATGGCCCCTAGCTGCCCTTCAGGTTTGGAACTGAACCCATACCACCTGTGGCTTCCAGACAAACAAGACAGGCATATGAGTTGAACATTTACTTGAGGCAGAAACACTCCTTGGAGAGATCAATCATAGGAGAAAGAAGGGCTATTTATGCAAAGGGAGACAACTCAGGGGGCAGGAGGGCATGGAGGGATGGATACAGGGAAGACGTAACTAGCGGGAGGAAGTGAGAGGGGAGCTCTTGCATTGGGGTAAATTGTAGTCAATGTCATGAAACAAAGTATACGTGAACTGTTGTATGGAAAGTGAATTTGCTCTGTAAATTTTCACCCAAATCACATTAAAAAAATAAATGAATAAAAATAAAAAAAGATTATAACATGAAAAAAAGAAAAAGTTCAAGTTCCATAAGGTGAAAACAAAAACCACCCATAGTTATAAAAACCTGAGTACTGGGTAGACATTTTCTCAAAAATGAAAGAAGCCACCCTGTCACTTTTACAAAAATAACTAACAACATTTGCTGCAAATGATAAAATTCAAGTTTTCAAAGGCGAATTAGAATCTGAAAAACTTACATTAGCCAACTGGACAGCTTCCCAATTCTTACAGACTTTTCTGATGAGATTGATGAAGAAATTAACAAATGTGATTTTTCTGATGTAATATTTTACGTGCCAATATTTGAAAAGTCTGCCTATATTTGTGTGAACGAATATACCCACTCCTCACTTGTCAACATGGTTAGGTTCCAAAGACCAGGTCATTATGCGGAAATAGGTATTATGCAAAAATGGAGGATGACCACATCAGATCACAAAACGGAAGATGACTAACATTATTACACAACAGCCAAATCACATCATTACAAAACTGCCAAACCACTGAGAATTACAACCTAGCCAAGTTGACACCTAACTTAACCACAGAGCCAGTATTATTCTTGCCTTGCACCTTGGCGGTTGTTATAGCCAAATGTACATCATTAATGCTCAAAATAGTTGGCATAGTAGATTTTCTACTATTGTTATAAATGCAAAACGTTAGATAATGAAACAGTTGATAAGGAGTAGCTGTATTTTCCAAATGACCAATACACGAGTTACAAAATTATGCACGAGTAAATGAAGTATTCAAAGGGCAAAAAAGATGAGAGTGGATTTTAATGTAACAAAGTATGGACATTTCAGTGATACAGTTTCAGATTCTACATTGAAACTAACCTTTAACAAATTGCTACCTGTTGAGTTCTGGTGAAGTAGCAAAGAATATCCACAATTATCTGAGAAGGCTACTAAAATATTTCTCCTTTTCCCAACTAACATCATTCTTCTTACTAATTTTTTTTGGAAAATAGAACTGGTTTTCATAAAAACAAATCATTCACGTTAATATATAATGGATTTATTTATTTTAAAATAAACTAAAAATACCTCATATTTCTCAGTTTTAATTTCTAAAATAGTAAATACCAAAAAATAAAACCCACATAAAAAAGTTCTTTGGGGTCCTCCTAAGTTTTAAAAGCATAAAGGGGTCCCGAGGCCACAGGTTTGAGAACTGATGCACTAGACCTTAAGTCCCTTGAGGGCAGGGACCACATTAGACTTCTCTTTCACCCCACCCTCAGCAGATACCCTGCCTCCCAGCACCTACTACAGTCACCAGTAAGACATGACAACCTACTTCCAAGAAAAAACAGCCAATGTAAACCCTATGGATCACAACTGTCTGATCCAACCAACACACATGGGGTTCCCTGACGGCAGCTAAACAGACTGAGCACACACTAAATTTTTGTTAAACTGCTTTAACAGAACTTCAAACACACTTGGGTACCGATTCTACCGGTAAGTGGAAAAGTCTTCATGAAATAGCACAGAACTTAATTTAAATAAACAGAACACTAGAGAGTCTCATCCATTCAGCAGATATCTAATGAACATCTACTATATGATAAAAGGTACCAGCGGGGACAAAGCAACGAGAAGAACAGCTGTGCCCCTCAAGGTATTTGGGGAGACGGAGGCAGAACTCACTAAAAGCCAAGAAAACATGGAAGTATCATAGTGAAGCGTCAGGAGAATCAGAAGATGCAGAGCCTGATTCCTGGAGGACTCAGACGCTTCTTGGCCCACAGAGTGAGAAAGCTGAATGTCTGCAAGCAGGAGGCTTGCTGGCAGAGTGAAACGGGTGCTTCTCTGGTACTGGTGCTGCTAAAAGAGCTTTGTAACACTTGGCTCTTACAGAGACAGAGAAACGGACAATGGGAAGGCAGAAAAGACCTGCAAGAGTAGAGACCAACATTGCTTGGTCACAGCCAGCTACCCAGAGGGACCGAG